TACACTTTTCTTATTCTATATCAGGGTGGTCCAAACCCAGGCCCGAGGGCCACATGTGGCCCGCCGCTTTATTATCTGTGGCCCGCGTCACATTCGAAAAGTAATCAAAAAATCGCATTTCGTGTTGTTTCGTAATAAAATTAATCAGAAAAATCTTTTGACATATTGTTACATCAATAACGTCACTGAATTGACTAGTGTTATGGCTAGCTGAGGCAACTAGCAATTCTTGGCACTATTGTGGCCCGCGAACAATGCAAAAATAATTTTGTGGCCAGCGAAGCCGACAACCCTGGACCACCCTGTACTATATCACACTCATTCTACATCTATAACCAGACTCAATAAAATTCATAACTGAGAACACAGATTCCCAAGCATATCATAGTTAAGATCATGGAGAGTAATGCACTTGCAAAGTTCTTCAAGCACGAAAATTTTACAGTAGTGGCATTCCAATCCCGTGATAGTTCGTTTTCTGCAATTCTCTCTCGTATTCCCTTCTCTATTCGCAATTTTTTTTTTAATATTTCCTAACTTAACTCAAACCGTGCCAGGGGTGACCCATTCACCACAGTGAAATCATACAAGCTTCTATTGCATGCAACGTCATACATCAATATATCTAATGACCCGCGGGTCACAAAGTGACCCACCGCGTTTTGTTCGTGACCCGCCAAGGCACGAATAAAATAAGAATAAATGCCAACATATCAGTGATAAAAATTGATAAAACCGGCTATAAATTAATTTAACAATAACTAAACTATTATAATGTACCGCCAGTTGGGCAGTCAGGGCTGCGATCGCTCATATGCAAATTGGGTACTCCTGAATTATGCGGACCAAGATGTCGCATAACCTGAACCCTAACCTGGTAAACAACATGATTTCAGGTTGTGCGCCATCTTGGTGCGCATACTTCAGGAGGTCCGCAAATTGTTATTTTTCAGGCCGTTATGGTAATTTTCAAAACCCCTAATCTTGAACGCATGTCTGCACCGCTTTGTAAAGTTATTCAGCTATTGGTTCTGACATCGTATATGGCATAACAATTCAATTGATCTGTTCCCTTTTTCGCAACGCCTTGACTCTTTCGGGGGAGAATCTGCAGACCGTTTTCCTTCCAAACTCTTTAGAACCGTAAAATAATTTACCGCAAGGTTTTTAGTAATTCGTATGCGTGTTTTCGTACTCTAATTTCATAAAATCGAGTGCCAAGTGCTGCATAAGTAAAGCCCAAAACTACACCAACATCAACAGAAGCTTATAAGATTTGTTTCAGAAGGTTCTTATAGATGCAAACATTGATTAAATATCTGTGACCCACTCTCTTCGGTTCCGCTATAAAAGTATAATTTTTGACCCATTCATTGGAAAAGGTTTGCCATCCCTGGTATAGAGTATAAATTTTTTTAAACCGAGTAATTTCTAGAAAACGCCGTCAAACTTTAATAATGAACTAAAATGAATGATAGTTTCAAATTGAATGTCGAAGCCCCTGTGGATTTCGAGACCCTAAGCTTCAAGCTTCAAATTTACTGTGAAGTGAAAACAGAACAGTTGATTGTCGACTTTTCTGCTAAAAATAGACGCTCAAAAATTATTGTAAACTTGATGGATATATGTCTTTCTATTATATATGCTAATTTGCCTGTGATTGAGTGTTTTTGGGTGATGATTTTATTAAGTACTGAGGTGGGATCTGATATTAAGAATTTCGGTTTCTCGCCAATTCCTTGCCACCTGCGAGCAAATTTTTATTTACAACTTCGAATTGTAATTTGGTCCATCAAAACAAAATCCTGTGAACATGCGTAATGAGTTTCGTACATGAAGATGGTTGTAGCTGGCAGCAAAGATGAAAGAAGGTCAAATTGAGGAATTCATATCACCGTTATTCAATATTTTTCAGGCATTTTCTGGAAGTTGGAAATTTGTGTTGCGGATTCACTCATATAAATATCTTAAGCATCTTGTCGTCGATGATTGCATATAAACCTTTCTATTTTTTTGACTGAACGTAATGTTCTAAAATAGAAAAAAAAATAGTTCCGATGACCCCACGACATAAGACTTGATAAGAAAGATATTTGTCAGACGAGGAGAACTGGCGATAAACTTTCCGACATTAAGACATCGACATCGACTTTCTGGCGTACAGTACATGAATGCAATAAATATTATTAAACGTGAAATTTGTTGTGATAGCAAAGAAAGCATCAAAATGTAAACATAATTGGTATTTGTCAAGTTGAACGCATTAAAAGAGTGGAAAATTTGGGTAATGGTCGTGTTTGATAGAAGAATTTTTTAACTGAAACCGAAATAATTTAGTCTCGGCCCTCTTCACAAATTAACGGTATAGTATATAATACAAAATTCACACAAACAGCCTTTATTTGGGCTTCACATTATGAAAAGCAGAATGATGGACATTTTGCAGTATATATTAAAAGTATACGAATTTCCTTTTATTTCAAAACGGTGATGCCCCCGAGCAATTATAGCCGGAAACAGGCTTTCAGAGTCTAAGAAGGAATGGGATTTTCATTACTGTTTGATTCATTTTATTCGGCAGAATATGCGTTAAACGAAATGGGGCGACTTGAGGATATAGGGATGGCGGAATCGACTCCGGAATCGATTCCAGAATCTATTCTTCTTGGAATCGAGTAGAATCGATTCCGGTGCATTGGAATCGATATCTAGTGTTGAAATTTAGATTGTAAACAAGGTATAATGTTTTGTGACGAGTTCTTTACATACCGGTATATATATATATGTATAAATTGTTATGTGGAGTTGCTACAACGCCGCAAACTTAACTATATTTGTACAATGACCTTCTCGCTCGTTTGCGCGGGTTGAGGGCATATGCCACATTTTTGACCATTTCTGTATGTTTTCTCTTGTTTATTGCGTTCATTACTCCTATTTACTTGGAGCAAGGAGTATCAAGAAAAGTGGAATTAAACTTGTTGGTTGCAGTTTGAAGTAGAAAATTTCACACCTCAGAGATGGAACAGTCTGCAGTCAACAGACCGGAATAGCAAAAGAATTATTCCATAGAAATAATGGAGCATGTATTGAAAATCTGATCAGTGAGAGGGTATGGGTAGCTCTGAAATGACAGGCGGTGGGGGGTGGTGGAGGCTTCAGCTAAAATATCTGCGACCCACGAAGAAATGTTGCAATGGTGGCAACAAAAGAAAAAAAACGTATCCAAACATCGCAGTTTCCATTCAAAAGTATCTCTGTGTCCCAGCAAAATAATCTTTATCATTACCTACTGCACTAATTGCTAGGAAATTTTCAGTGATTAAAAATTGTAATTTTTCGCTAGAAGGCTATTACCATTACGTTTATTCATTTCAAGATTTTTGTGTGTATTCGTTTTTTTGTGTGTGCGATTTTGTCTACTCTGACAGATCGAATAACCATAATACTTAGTTTAGGCTCTCGTGTCAATATATTTGAACATTGCTCACTTGTTTGATTTGTTAGTATTGTTTAAGTGGGTATGTTTTCTCGGTAAACTATGTCGAGGAATCGAGCATCGGAATCGAAAATTTGGGAATCGGATGAGAATCGAATACTTGTAAGTACTCATACCTAGCATCCTTACTTGAGGAATATAAATTTGGCGTTATATGCGTTTTTATCCACGTTGTCACTGTTTGTCGTGTTGCTTTTAAAAATTTAATATTTTGATCTATGAGAGTTTAATAGTAATACTATACTCTGGAATATATAAACGAACTAATTTAACCATTCAGAGCACTATTCGCTGTATTCTGATCATATTCTGTCTAATGTCATAATACACGGCTCAAATTCATTTTATTCAGCAGGTATCATAATCTCGTATTTTCAATGGCCATTTGTGGGGTTTGTATGCTTTGGTGAAGAAATACTCTCTACCAGCAAGCACTAAAGCGGAATGAATGCTCGCTCACCTGCTGAAACACAAGCACTTAATTCGGGAGTGAAGACAAAAACAAGATTATGATGACTACCGTTGAATCAAAACAGAGCCTTGACAGCCCTTAACTACTGAATACAAGAAGAATCAGACGTTTTATGTAACAAACTGAAATTCTTTTGTCTGGTGAATCATTTGTATTGTGGTTTGAAATTGCTGAAATATCAAATTACAATAATAAATGATTCCCATCGAAGCCAACTGATATCTTCGACTACGGATTCAATATAGCGTTCCTCGACACATGGCCACGCAGAAATGTTTGATTCAACTATGGAATATGTTTGGCCAAAATAATTGTTTACGGTAATGACGAAATTTACAACCGTTTGAAACCGTAGACTGAAAAGAAGGCTGAATCGCGCAGCTGAATTGGCAATAAAGCACTTGTTAATATCGAGTCAAATTTAAGAGGTTTTGTTGTAAATAGCAAACTAACTCGAGTGTCTATTATAGAATTAGTTGTAGTCATGGAAACACTATCTAAAGGTAATGAAGTTGGAAGCGATTGTCGTTTCAAATAGCTGGAGCCCGGATAGACCAATAGCAAAATAAGAGAGCAACTGAGCAAGTGAATCAGGTTCACTTATAATTGCTGAAAGACAAGATGAAATCAACAGTTTGATTGTGAGTTTCAAGGCGTATTTTTCAGAAGTTATTATACCTAATACTGAAGTCAAATATTTTTAAGCTGAGGTCAATAGGAACGCATATTTTAATTGCTTTAAACACATTGAAGCAAAATATTACAAAAATGAAATGCGTTCTGAGCTTCATCAAGAAATGTTGTTTATAGGGCTGTACAATGGAAAGTGGTATATAGAAACAAAAATATTTCAAGTTGGACGGGCTACAAAATCTCATTTGATTCCGAAATATTTCACCACATTGAACCTTTACGTAAGGACGTGTTAGTCGCTATCATATTGAGAATATATTTCATACGCAACCGCACAACAAAAACAACGAGATTATCTTAATTTTCTTATTTTTCCTTCTAACATAATCATAAGCAAAAATAAGAATAGAAATGGCTGCTGGAACTGAATTGCAAGAAAAAGAACTGATAGCAAAATCCAAGAGAATGCTTGCTACAACAAAAGATCCAATAGAGCGAATCCGTCTTCAATGCTTAACCAGAGGCGTTTCAGGGATTAAACGGATCGGGCAAATATTTAGGATTATGGATGATGGTGGGTGAATTTTTTGATATTGAAAAGTATTGTATAGTATTGTATAGTATAGATTTTCAACGAAATTTACGCTGTAATGCTTCATGGGAAACAACAAAATTACTAAAATGAGGTATCTAACATATATATGTATAATCTGATTTTTCAATTAAATCAGTTTGACTGATGAAATATTGATAAATTTTCTCGAATAGTATGATTTTTTATATGTTCCTATTATAGACAACAGTCGCAGAATCAGTTTTGAAGAATTTTGCAAAGGCAGCGATGATTTTGGTGTTGAGCTGACAGACGAAGAAAGGCAGGAAGCATTCGATGGATTCGATGCAGATGATTCGGGTTTGATAAGTTTCGACGAGTTCCTGGTTCGGCTGAGACCTCCTATGTCTCATAATAGAATTTCTATTATCGAAAAGGCATTTAATAAATTTGATAAGTCGAATGATGGAATAGTAACCGTGGCTGATGTGAGAGGAGCATACAATGCAAAACACCATCCAAAATTTAAGAACGGTGAATGGACCGAAGAACAGGTGAGTGAATGCATATAATTGAACTGAATACTATGTTCATTACATATTTTTGTCTAACGCTGTCTGCGTATATTTGCGTTTTATTATGGAATCAGGATCCTCAAAAACAAAAATATATATGATTTTAAAGCCTACCTCTCGCACGCGCAAGAAATAACATCACAAAATATTTAAAATATTAGATTTGCAACTATCCACATGTATTTCAGCTTTAGCTTATCGAAAAGAGCCACTGTGTCGTGTCTCTTTCTTTGTGCGTTTATAAGTAATATGATACTACTTTTGTATTACGGCGTCAGGTTTTCGTCATTACGCCGTTATGTTTTTGCAAATAACTGCACGTTGCTTTACCCACCCCAGATCATTCCTAATACGATATTATGTAAATTGCCTCCTCTTTCATTCACATTATAGGTCTTTGGAACCTTTTTGAAAAATTTTGACTCGCCCACGGATCCGGATTTGAAAGTAACGAAAGAGGAATTTATCAATTATTACGCAGGATTGAGCGCGAGTTTCGATACCGACATGCAATTTGATTACATGATGAGAAATGCATGGGATTTATGAAATCAGCGAGTGTCAAGCGATATTCTCCTTTTCAGAATAACCAAGAACAAAAAATGGATTTTTTCGAGTCCGTTACATGAGGCTCTCATTTCTACACTTTAAAAAATTTACATACAAGTTAAACTCACCAATATGTATTTTATCATATAAAATAAACGATAACAAATATAAAAAAAAATGCTTAATTCTACAAGTGATATTTACATCTAAAGAGCAGAAAGGCGATCATACACAGAATAAGAGAGCAATGCTCAAATATATGGACACGAAAACCTAAATAAAGTAGTAGTACGGGTATCTAATCTTTGACCGTACCGGTGCTGTAGATTTCCTGATTTCTCGATTAGCCAGTCCATCAGATCGCAACCAACGCGAAATCGCGCATTTTTGGTATCAAAACGTCAGCTATACCTTAATAGATGTTATTGTGCTTAAATTCTCAAGAGATTATCAAAGACAGAACCATTTTTACTGATAACGAGATAGTATGCACAGTCGAGAGAGTGAATTTTACTTTCGAGATTGCCAAGAAGTGATCAAGAGAAAAAACATATGGGCCGTTGCGGACTTCTTTGTCTTTTATGGGCTTAAGAGGGCCTCACAGTTTCTTCGTCATACATTAATACTTTGGTTCTCAATGTATGATGTACAAAAACTCCTCATTTGTGAGAAGTAAGAACTTTGTTAGAAAGTGAAGTACCTTGGAAAGCACAGAAATTATGCTTGTCATACGTCCTTATTTAGTGGTACATTCCCGGTTTTCCAAGCTGTCCCACCGTCCCATCCGAAAGACTCGAATGTCCAGGTTATGCAATATGCATGGCAGTCATAAGTACTTTTCTTGATTGATAATATTACAGATATTTTTTTTAAACAAAGTCAGCACATTTGTCAATGATTTGCGACTTGGTTTTGTAATGTCACAATTATTACCGCATATTATTTGGTTCCATTACATTTGAACCCGTAATTTGAACCCACGACAATTGCACCTGCATACTATTGCACCTATATGGAATTTTTTTTTTACGGATATTTGAACTCATTCTAACCCTAACCCACGAATTTTAGCACCCTCATATAGATTGAACCCACGGATATACGGGTGCAAATGTATGGGTTCAAATGTACGTGGGTTCAAATGTACAGTCACCATACTATTTATACGTTAAGGATGGCGGAATCGAGTCCGGATTCGATTACAGAATCGATTCTTCGCGGATTCGATTCCGATTCACTGGAATCGATTCTCGAGTTTAAAACTTGGATTGCAAACAATGTGTAACGTTTTGTGGCAATTCCTTCACACATATATGTGTATATACTGCTTCACTGCTATGTTGAGTTGCTACGACGCCGCAAACTTCACTATATATAATATATATTTCGCTAGAAGGCTTTAACGTTTATTTATTTAAAAAATCTCTGTGGGTTCTGAGGGATTCGTTTTTTTTTTTGTGCAATTTTGTCTCTCGTGACAGATTGGATACTCATACTACTAAGTTTCGACCTTCTTGTCCGTCCAGATATTTGAACATCGCTCTCTTGCTTGATTTCATAATATGGTATTGCTTAGTCAAGTATGTTTTTTCGGTAAGATATGTCGAGGAATTGAGTATCGAATATTTAAGAATCGAATACTTGTAAGTAGGCTACTCATACTTGGCATCCTTATTTATACGTCGCCTAACTGTGAGCTGTAGGCTACGTCAAATCATGTTTGTAGGATAGGATTTACATACTTATCCCGGGGTATAGGAACGCCGATAAGACGGCTTAATCATAAGGCGAACCACGGCCTCTCGTACGGTTACCAGTCCATGTCGGGTATGGAATTATTTAGCCAGTTTTTTTGTTTTTAGATGCATGGACTTGCTGGTGGAGGAGGCCGAGACCACCCTACGGTAAGGATGCCAAGTATGAGTACTTACAAGTTTTCGATTCTTAACCGGTTCCTAAATTTTCGATTCCGATTCTCGATTCCTCGACATAGCTTACCTAGAAAACATACACACCTAAACAATACTAACAAATCAAACAAGTGATCGATGTTAACAATATATGGACACGAAAGCCCAAAGCATCCTAGCGGAAATTACAATTTTTAATCACTGAAAATTTCCTAGCAATTGGTGCAGTAGTTAATGATAAATGATATTTTTTCATAACAAGTACATAAAAATGAATTCTAACAAAAATATAATAACAAGACGGTTTGAATGTCCACTTTGTGTCAAACAATTACTGTCATAGTAAAAAGCTCGATCAGAATTTGGATACGGGAAGCTCCTCTGAGCTAAATGCTCTTTATGATGCAGCGGATATTGCTGGGATACAGAGGTACTTTTAGATGACAACCGCGATGCTTGGATACGTTGTTTTGTTGCCACCATTGCAACGTTTCGTCGTGGGTCGCAGACATGACACGAGTTCTGTCATTCGAATATTTTGATATCTCAGCTGAAGTCTCCACCTCCCTGGTCAATTCATCAGCTACCCATACCATCACTGATCAGATTTTCAATACATGCTCTATTATTTCTATGGAAGAGTTCTTTTGCTATTCCGTTTTGTTGGACTTCAGACTGTCCTGATGTGTGATTTTTTTTGTACTTCAAACTGCAACAAGGTTTTTTACTTTTCTTCTTGATGCCCTATGCTCGAAGTAAATAAGAGTAATTACGACCCAGAGACGTCGAAGTACGGCCGAGATCGCCATGGCGACCTACCGCAGTAGCCTGTCACCGGATCACTCATAATCACGAATCGGGTCCGACAGCCAAAGCAATTCACATCTGCAGTTTTAAAGCCGTTACTGAGCAGTGAGCACAGGCTTCGTCGAAAAGATGGCTGGACGGTCGGACATAACGCCACGACATTCATAGAATACCAATCGATCTCTTCACAGAATCAACACCCCCGACAACAAAAATTAGCAAAACGGTTGCAGCAATCCGGCTGCTGGCATCCCAAAGTATACAGACTTACCAGGCGGCTACCAAGCCGTTAAAACCAGTGGATTAGATAAGACATTCAGCATTTTCGCACCAAAAAGGCCCTCCTCATAAATGGCCACTCGAGAGTATTATTCCCAACAACGAGAACCGCAAGGATATAATCTGCAGAACACACAATCCTATTTCGGAACTGTACTTGTGCGTAAAACATATCCGTTTTAGTTTACCTGAAACTTAACCAGTCGTAGACAGAAGTATTTCTCCGTCGTCAGGGCGTCCGAGATCCCACTATATTTCCATACCACAAGATGAAGAACCTTTTCCTAACTACACTCCAATATACCATTCCTGCCACAATATATGTGCGATAATTATTTTTATTTACTCTACTACTTATTAATATATCTGATTACATAGGGGAAGATGAGATGATGCGAATGTTTGGGAAAAATTGAATCTCAAAGAAAGATTGGTCGATCAAAAGTGAGAACTTGGTTAATAAAGCAATAAGCTCAATATATCATATTACCACAATTGATTGGCCGATAGGTATTCAAATCTAGCTGAAACAAGTGGGAAAATAAAGTCACTAATGATATGTATCCTTCTACTTTAGGCAAAAGTAAGTCCGGCTTCGTTGTATACTTTGAAGACTTTCTCAATTGCATTAACATAGGCGGCAGTGCGAAGGTCCAAACCCAAGTTGTAATTCATGGCAGTCCTCATGATTTGCTAATAGAATATAAAAATGTTATCATAATCTATTCAGCTTAAAAAAAAAGTGTGATTTGTTTACTTAACACTGGTGTATCCAACAATATCAAGAAATAATATTCGGTACTTCCGAAGTATGTGAACCAAGATGGCGGACACCGGAACACAGTAAGTGTACCAGGTTTTGGGGTCGGGCCATCCTTTAAGGTACAAATACTACGGGAGCCACTTGGCTAGTCCCCGAACTCGTAATAGAACTAAAATAAGGAAAATTGGAATAAAATTATGGTTTAACCCTAAACTGGTACACATACTACGTTCCGGTGTCCGCCATCTTGGTTCACATACTTCGGGAGTACCTAATATTCTATACCAGGGCTACTCAACTGGTGGGCCGCGGTCCGAATCCTCATCTAATTCTTTATTTTGTATCATTAGCCCCACCCTTCAAGTTTCCTTTTATAAAATCACTTTCATAGTTTCGAATATACATAAAAAGAACTATAACACCATAATAAACAATCTTGATTTTCTAATAATCATTAGCCGGCTGAGGAAGTGCGTGTTAGAGGATGCTGAAATATAATTTCTGCGAAGACCGGACCCAAATATTAATTTTGAGGTTTTGTATGCGGATCTCCGGTAAAAATAGTTGAGTAGCCCTATTCTATCGACATCATAGATAAAAAAAAAAAAAACAGGCATGTGCATATCACCTTGGAAAATCACTGCATGAAGCGCAATTCAAAAGTCTTTGTCTTGTTAAATATTTTAGTGTATATTTTCCTTTATCATACACACATATCTATAAATATACATTATATGAAGGCATTCTTACCCTGGCTGATCTCTCCATTGTGTATGAAAGTCCGGAATGTACAATATCCTTTTCAGATGCACCCTGAATGCAATATAGAGATTTATTATAGGGTGCTCCAGAAGTGTGTACTAATATGGAGAATGGAGGTAACTAATTTTGTTCGCCAACTTTACATCAAGTTGTGTAGAGGGACTGAAGCCTATAGGCCTCCGATTCACTTGGGTAACACAGACAGTTCTCGAACTCGAAATGACATAAGGAAAATCAAAACAAAATTATGGCCTAACCCTAACCTGGTACACATACTACGGGAGTACCTATTATAATTAGATCTGATTTAAATTAGTATACACTGCAAAATACAGTCGATTTATTCATAGTTATTTGCATCATATAGATTAAATAAAATATTTATCTACAGCAATATTGCCATTAACATGCTACCAGTATGATTAAGTTTTGTTGAACAACAACAGAGTCTCCTATAAATATTTCCAATTTCAGTTTAGTATGCTCCAACTTTCACAGAAACAACCAAAAATCTTTTTTTTTTTTCAAAGTGACATCTCATTGCACTTACAGCAATTTTCTTTTGAAACATTTCTGAGGGAGTGACTGGAATCTTTCCTCCATATTTTCCAAATTTTCTCTCTAAACTTTGCTGTACACTGTCTGTAAAACAAAAGTACTTGCTAAATTAAAGCAGTGTAATATATTTAGGATAGGATTTTACATAATTAGCCAAATTCATTCTTTTTCCATTGATGGCTAACACTTTACTATAACATTCTGAAAATATCTACATACCTAGCAGATCGTAGTTTGCATCTCTCTCATATTTAAATGACAGACGTCCATAACTTACGTGGTTGAGGTTTTTCAACCACTCGAAATAGGAGACAGTGACACCACCAGCGTTCAAATACAAATCCTGTTGAAACACAATTTGATATTAAAAAAACAAAACGAGACAAGGGCACAGGAATAAATAAGGACAAACATGTTTTGTGAGATGTCTGAGAAAAAGAACAATTTCTCAAATACAAGGACAGTATGGTAGCATGCATCCAGGGGGTGGGGTAGAGAACTTCAACTTTACGCATGCTTCTAACACTTAACATAAACAAATATGCCACTGCTGAGACAATAAAACATTTAAGTTGAAAAAACCATGTTACCGAATGTATTTAATTTTGTTCTGAAGAATTTTAACTACTGAGAGACTAGGCAAATGTCTGAAAAGTGCAGTTTAAAAGGATTTTTGAAGAAAAAAAAGTTACTTGAACAAAACTATATACTACTCACAGGAATAATAAGCTTGTTCATCTCAAGCAATATCTTGTCAGCTGCAGGGGTGATTGGTCCATTTGCACCTTCTCCTATTATCTGCAATAATTAAGATTTGCATTATTTGCACATATTTGACGAATAGATAGTTACATAAATATATGTGACAGAGACCCAGATTAAGCTATCTTTCATATACCCTCAGCATGTTCTGGTGTAATATATGTCAATAATGAAAAGAATAACAAATTGATTCAAACTTACTCTGGCTTTAATTCTTGTTGCATTCTCAGCAGTAATCGCCTTTTCCTTAGCACAAGGTAAGAGTATATCACATTCCTCTTCTAACAAGCTTTCCCCCTTGTATTCAGAAGCGCCTGGGAATCCAACAACTGTACCTGTTTGCTGTGAACATTGAAAAAGATAACAATTAGCTGATGTCAGCTATTTGACAAGCGAATCATATTAAATAACATAATAATTGATGGTGTTCTAGCACTAATTCATAGGATTGTTTGGATTTTGCAAAATATCTCAACTTATCATCGGATTTTCGCATGCTATATCTCAGTCATTGCGCAATTTATAAAATGTTTAAAGTAGGGCCCGACCGATACTGCCTTTTTGAACCGATACCGATACTGCTAGTTTTCCAAAACTAGGCCGATAAGCCGATAACGATACCGATTTTTCTTCACATAAAAAAATTGCTACAAGTAACAAACAACACTCTGAGAATTCTGTGTTTTTCTTGCAAAAGAAATAAATGTTGAAACTCATGCAATGATTATAAAAAAATGCAAATTTGTGCATCACTAAGTTTTTTTAAGAATAGCGATTTTCAACGCCTTATATTAGAAACAAACAGTGTAAAGCCACAGTGCTGAAGAAAATTGTGTGCATGGTGAAAAAGAAAGAACACTTATGTAAGTTTATGGAATCTCAATACAGCAATAGCTCCAGTTTAACAGTCTCAAGTTATAGTTGAGAAAGCAGAGTTTTTCTGCATTGGCTCCAAGCAATGAACATCTGTTATCTGCATAGATATTCCCAGCGGTGCTGAATACTCTTTCACTGGGAACAGATGTTGGTGTTGCCGAAAGGTATTTTCTGGCCAATATAGCTAAGATAGGAAATCGACAAGCATTGTCATGCCACCATTTGCATACATCCGTTTTCTTTCTGTCAGCCACTGGCTCCAGCATATATTGATGGAGCTGACTACTGCCTGTACCAGATGATGGTCTTTCATGATGCAAAATCGAGTCAAACATAGTATCAAGCGAGCTTGGACCTGGCTGTGTCACTTCAGGCTCTGCAGTAGGTATAGACGCTGCTAAGGCATTTGACTCTTCCTCCATCCATTGTATTGCCCGCTGTTTGCTTGCTTCATCCAGAATTGCCCTATCTTTGAATCGTGGATCCAGCAGACAAGCCAGCATGGCCTGCCTGTTTTCTTGAATTTTACAAAATCTTGAATTGATACTTCGAAGCATAACCTCCCTCATGGACTTTATACCCCTGGTTTCCGGCCCCGAAGATCCTAATAGCAGCTTCAAAACGCCAACACTCGGTATGATGAGCGTATATTATTTGACACAAATAAGCCGTTCACGTGTTCTATTGCTTCGATTTGTAAGCCACCACGCTGCAAACTTGCTTGCAAAGTGTGAAATCCCGTGTCGCAATCGTCCGTGAAACCGCTTTTGATAAGAGAGAAATAGAAATAGTGAAGAAAAAGAGTTTCACGCAGAACCGCTCTCGAATTAAACAAGCGATAAAACTGCTTTCCCGGCAACCTTCAACAACTAAAGCGCAAGGGAAATTAAGCGCCGTGTAAACTACGCGAAAATTCTCTATTTAATCTAGCGTATATTATTTGACACAAATAAGCCGTTCACGTGTTCTATCGCTTCGATTTGTAAGCCACCACGCTGCAAACTTGCTTGCAAAGTGTGAAATCCCGTGTCGCAATCGTCCGTGAAACCGCTTTTGATAAGAGAGAAATAGAAATAGTGAAGAAAAAGAGTTTCACGCAGAACCGCTCTCGAATTAAACAAGCGATAAAACTGCTTTCCCGGCGCAATTTTGACACTTTGGCAGTCACGTGATTAGCCGATAACTATCGGTAAAATTAGCCGATACCGATAGTTCAAAATTTGTGAAAAACAAGGCCGATATATCGGCCGGCCGATATATCGGTCGGGCCCTAGTTTAAAGGAGCATGAATTGTTATCACTATGAATCACACAGACCAGTTTATATTCTTCCAATTCTCTTGGATCAATTCCTTGTTCATTGTAAATGCTTCCATCATATTCAATAATGCCAATACATCTAGCACCATGTCTGCAAAATAGAAATTTTTGAAAACTAAGTTAAAGAGACTAATTGGCAACCAAAAATACCTTATTTTAAAATATGGGAAACAAACCCTTTAGGTAAGCATGCATAAAACGAAACATTTTTCAATAACATTTGCCATCCTAAAATAGGTTCACTAAAATGGATACTGTATACCTGCTGGCTTCCTGAAATGAGTCATTATCCTAGAAACCTCAATGACTAGGTCAAATATAATAAATTCTGCAATAAGAGAGATGATACTCGTTTCTCATTTAGTGTCCCTTTTAAATTATAGCATAACAGAACCTTAGAAATTCTTGTATATTTTGCTTTCGCAGTCAATTACAAGGGGTAGGTGAGGATAATATAAAAAATAGAAACCTGTGCAAATATCTCATGCTATGTAAACCAACATTACCACATCCTTGCACAATGAAGGTTTTGTCCTGGAATCCTGGGGTAGTGCCAATAGCACTCATAAAAGTTGCTGAAAAAAATAATAACAAAAATTAAATCCAATATTGATAAAATTTGTGGTATTTGCTATGTGATAGTTTGAATCAATGTTTAAATATCTCAGTTGTAAACTGGCAAGAATGTAGAGAAACGGCTTAATGGGCTTGAAATCAATAAACACACAAGGAGGTATAGGAAACCAATAACTACCAGTATATTTTGAGCAAAATTATGAAACATCAACGCTTTTTAGGAGTGAATAAGTTATACCAATTCATGATTGTGGAATGAAACTAGGGTCGGCAATACCTCGCTTAGTCAATGTCACTCTATTTAACTTCTTTCATTTTTTCCAAGTACGTAATGCAAATATATCTCATTATTGTTTTAAAGCAGACAGGATATGCAGAGGGTTCTGTTTACAATTTCAACAATAGAAATGCATATCTAATCGAATACTGTTCTAAAAAAATTCCTTAAAATGCAATACCCAGTTTCTAAATTAAATATTGCATAGTTTCGAAATAGATTTTAATCATTATATACTGGTGTGGAGTACAGCATATTCAAAGACAAATCGAACTATTTTTATCATATTAGTTCAACTTAAGATATTGAATGTATTTTCTGAATATGCCATATGAAATAATAGATTAACAACTTAAAATAAATAGGTGTCTAGATACAAATAAAATAAGATGTTGCCTAGAAGCATAATTTTAAGGTGATATTGAATTACCTTCATTTATGAAGTTTTCTATTCCATGAAAAAGACCCTGGAAAATAAAGCAGAATTTAAATGATCTTGATCTCAAGTTGTGAAAATATTTGTAGATTTTATACTTTGTTTTACAAATAACGTTTGTATTATATGATTGAATAGTTGAATTGAAATAACACAGAACATTTTGCAATAAGAACCATTCATTCTTTGAATTTCGATCGCAAAAGCAAACTACCATAACTAGAAGCAATATTATAGGGGCAACTATGTATTTTGCTGAGTATGCAATGAAATAATCTTATCATGCATTTGTAATGATGTTTAGCTGAGTAAACTAATGAAGGCTAAACATAATAGTCATATACAACTTAATTTGAGTGAATCTCAAAAAAAAAATGCAGTTAGGAATATATCATGAATAAATAAGACAGTCTTCAATTCGGAAAGAAAAATGAGCCAGAATAATTTAAAATCTTCGACTTCCTTGCAGAGAGAACATTTATGTCAATATTGATTCAGGACTCAACATGATTTAAATATGGAAAGCAAATATACTTATAACATGCTTGCCTAACATGTAGCTTGTGTAAAAGTTTTGATCGCAACGCAGATGGAATTTTATGACAAAAACTTTACATTGATAATTTGAAACTGCCAAAATAAACTATACTCTTAAATTTAATAAATGCCAATAATTGAAACTAGTCATATGCATATCGAATTTCTCTTACAATTGAATCAAGTTGATCCAAGGGACCAAAAGAAAATATTAAAATTAGGATAATTTAAAGTAAAAAGGAAGATATCGGATTGGAATCCAATAGATTCATAATGTATATTCCAGGTCGCATATATCTGTACGGAGTGCGAGTTGAATCATTGAAATTGATAAATTCAAGCAAAAAACATCTGAGTTCATGCAGTCAGCAATAAGTCAATATTTCTAATAATATTGCGAAACAAACAAACTGAAAGACCACCACTTTCAGTATTACTTCGTATGCAAGATTTCATGGAATGTATTCCAGAATGACAAATCAGTGAGTCACAGTCTATATTACAATTGCATAATCGTGGTTGCTTTTATAATATGTACCATAGAATATAGAAAATGCTCACAACTTTTTTATCAGAATAAAATTCGCAACTTACTCTACCGGTTGCAGATACGCGACCATGAATTCCACCCTGTGTAATTGGTTTCCCAGTTACGCAAGCATGAGCATTTAAATCCCCATAGCCATGGGTCATTGCATATGTGTCAGCCATCCAACACATTTCTCTGGGACCGGTGTTAACGTCTGGGGCTGGGACATCAATTCCAGGTCCTGAATAAAATGATCATCATCATGTAAAGGGTAATATGAAAATAAATACAGCATCATTTATACATTGATAGCATTATTCATACATTATCATTTTTTAATAAATTCTGTTATCTGTTATGGCATAGAAAAGTTAACGCTTGATTTTTTTTAAATAGCAGCTGCTAAGTATATCTAATTCCCATTATGATAAAGCAAGGACTGTAGCGTGAAATTACCCCCGAATCAATAAGTTAATAGAAACATTGACATTTTGACAATGCATTTTATCCAAACCAGCTACATCAAGAAGTTCTGGTAATGAAAAATTGAATAGCAGATTAAAATTGTGATAAGAACAAAAATAAGAACCTAAAAATCCCTTTTTGGCAAGCTCCATTGCAAAACGTCTTGTTATCTTTTCTAATTCTCTTTCAGAATAATTTCTTGGATCAATTTTAATTCCAGCTTTTGCTCCTCCAAAAGGAACATCTAAAAAAATAAACTGCTTGATAGTTTAAAATAGATAATTATAAAGACGGTTCTATAATTTAGTTATTTCAATACACAAAATTCTAGATTGAAATAAGAGTGCAAAGTAAATACAATCATAAATATGGAATTATCACATGCATTCTATATTCGAATAAATAGGAAACTCAAAGATATATTTTGAATTATGAATGTGGCATCAGTGCAAAACTAAAGATAACAGTACTCATAGTACAAGGAGAAGTAGGAATAGATACGATATCTCACCAACAACAGCACATTTCCATGTCATTAAGGATGCCAGTGCTTTCACCTCATCCACATTTACATCAGGAGCATACCTCATACCTTTAAATAAAACCGAAAAACCTAATCATATCAAAGGAACAAAGCCAGTAATTTCAACATATCATAATATGCACTGTTAATTCTTATTGTAAAAGCTTTATTAGAATAAGTAAACAGGATAGCAGGAAAAACAAATTTTTATCATAAAAGCGTACTTTGATTCACATTGATTGAAAAAAAAATAGAACCTGCCTATCTTAAAGTTCAAATATATTTTGGGTGAACGAACTACAGAAAAATAATAAAAAAACTTCATAATTTCAACAAATTAGGATTTCAAAGCACAAGAGAGCAGATGTGTAAGTAGATATATATTAAATTAAAAAATAAACATTGCCAAAATTTGAATTCGAAATATGGTTGGACTGAATCTGAGTGAATTACCTCCTTTAGATGGAACTCTGTGTTGACTGTGTTGTGCTCTGTAGCCAGTAATAATCTCATATTCACCATTGTCTTTTCTCAGAGGAAAAGTTACCTTGAAAAGAAATTTTATGAGATTAATGTACATTAAAAATTTAATTAAAGTAATCAAAATAGTACCTCTAAAATATGATTGCATGGCCTCATCATTTGAAAAATTCCCTGTACACGACTATGCATTTGCTCAGCAGGTAGACGACGACTTTGTGGTCCTCTAGTATCTGTCCTGTATTGTAATCATATGAATCATCGTGAAACATCAAAAAAGTGAGATCTTTACTTGATCAATAAAAATTATAGCAGATACTTACTGATTATATAATGTATCCACTAATTTATCTTCAACAAGCCTTGCGCCATGCTCGAAATATTCTCCAACCATATCAAAGAAATTTGGATCATCATTACCTCCAGTTGTAGAATAATTTGATCTGAATCAAGAAGAATAAGCTCTGTTATAAAATTCCAATGATCAATTTAATGTATTAACCATGCACCTTCGCCACCCACTATCTTTGCATCTAACAAAATTTCTGAAATATTATTTTCAACAATAAATTTATCTGTTTACTATATTTCTTGAATATGCAAAAATCAAAATATATGTGTGGCGTATACCTGGATATTGTCGGCACAGCAGTTTTCAGATCAACAATTAGATGTTGCCGTGCAAGATTGCCTATATTACGAAGCATGATTAATGCTTGGCTCTCCTTATGATTCCAACAATGTTTGATTATTTTTTGTAATCCACAAATTTAAGTAAAATACCCTATAATAAACTGTGTATGAAAAATAAAAACATTTCAATAATGGTGCAGATATCAAGTACTTTGAAACGATTGCCATAAAACATGTAAACAACAAGCACCTATACTTTTATAGACTATCACAGTATAAATTTTGTCCCAGGAGAATTGATGAGATATATTGGTATTGTGGTATACCGCATGTTGTTGACGAGATACTTTAATCAACAGATCTACATCGGTCATATTTCAACTATGCAGAAATTATTTTTTATAGTTATATAGTCTCTTTCTAAATTCCCCAATTTTAGATGACTGCACTATGAAAAAATAATATGCGAACATGATTAATAATTGTATAATACTATAATATCACGCTATTGCAGTATTGACATCGTCATCAATTGTTCATTTTGTCATACAACTCCAGCATTAAAATCCACACATATAGGCCTACCGGTACTGTTATCATGATATAGCCTAGCTTTTACTCATAATTGCTTAAACTAAAGTCCGACATAACGTTATACCTTTTCTTTCAGTTGTGAAAGTAAGCGGCGCATCACGCACAGGCACAAAGGAATATCAGTCCCTGTCATTGACGCATTGAGTAGACAAGACGGGAGAGCTATCTGTTCGCCGGTTCTGTCGTTTGTCATTGGTTGACCTGTGTCGGTGTGTCTTTTCGTTTATGACGAACAGGCGATACGAAATACAAATTACTATTACGTCATATTTGCGGTTACAAGATCGCAAAACATGTTTTTGAATCGTCTACGGCAGTGGTTCCCAACCTTTTTTGCTTCGCCACCTCTTTTTAATATATCCTAACATACCCCTTTAGCAATATTTCCTAAATTTATATTATGTATAGCATGGCCATATATACATTTATTCGCTATCAAATTATCCAATGTGTTAGTTGGGCTTGCGTTTGTACAGCCAGCGTTAAAATTTGGGGTTGTGTATTGGGCCAATCCAATTCCATGTCGTTACTATACTTTCATTATTTTCTTTCCTAGGTATTGGTACGTAAAAGTGTCGAAAATTCGCGGTTACACAGGTGTGTCGTAGGCTCGTAGCGAAGGAAAAATTATTTGAAAGTTTCGATATTTTTGGATATGATTATATATAAATAAAATATAACTCTGTGGAACAAAATCGATATTGGTGAAACAAGAGAGCGATGCCTTGAATATATACTGAGGTCAAAACGAAATATTTTACCCACAATTTTCCCAAAATACCGCAACAAAGCTCACCAAAATTTATTGTCAACGAAAAAAATTCACTAAATCCAGATATTTTCTCATATTGTCGTGGTTGGTATAATTTTTAATATAGTAGTCAGGTGGGGGTTAGAAATGACAAAGCCCAGGGTCTCGACCCAAATCCCTCGACTTCCAGTCCCCACTAAAAAAGGGTGTTGAATTTTATTTATTATGCTTCTATTAGTTAATTAGTTCATTACTCCAGACCACTGCGGTTCATATAAAAACAACACAAACAAATAAACATAAGTAAAAACAAAAATAACACAATAAATACATAAAATACTTGATACGACAATCAGATTCACAGTAGATCTCAAAAAAGAGTTAATACAGTAGCATAATTAAAGAGGCCAAAAGTGAAGTATAGAATTCAAGATAGCCTGTCATAAACAGTATCTGGGAATCAAATTTTATGACTATCTAACATTTTAATAATTTGAAGTCTATGATAGATATGATTAAGTTGTGCATAATGGCCAGTACCGGACACATCACATATTTATTCTGCAGGATTTCTCCTATTTATTATTTCAGTTAGGATAGGATTTACATATTTATCCCGGGGGAGAGGAAAGCCGATAAGACGGCTTATCCATATGGCGAACCACGGCCTCTCGTCCGGTTACCATTCCAAGTCGGGTATGGGATTAGATTTACTGTATTGTTTGTTTTCGAAAGCATGGACTTGGTGGTGGAGGAAGCCGTAACCGACCAGCGGTTACGTGAACCACCCAACGACGGCGAGGAGTCCAGCAATCCTCTCGCACATAACCATCCCTGCATGGGATTCGAACCTGCGAACCCACGCAGAGTAGTTAGAGGTGCGGTGGCGAGCGTATTCCTAACGCTTAGCCCGTTGAGCCACACCGCCGCGCCGTAATAGAGTTTTATCAGCTGATCCCAATACAAAAAAAAATACCTAATACATATTGAATATGTGAACGGAATAGAGAGTTATAAACGATGCTCAAAGTTGTTACCGCAATAAAATGTCGAAATATGCACAGTATCCAACCGACTTATATTACTTAGCAGCCAAGTGCGTTATTTGAATATTCCATTTCAATGACCTGTCTATACATATGCCCAGATAATTATAAAGTCACATTTTTTAATATAGTCTGTAATGATATACCTGAGGAAGTCTGACTTTGGTCAGAGGAAAAGTTACATAAATATTATTTATCTTCATTCCTTTTACAGCAAGCTTGCAAAATATACATGTGGATCCATCGGAACAAAAGCATAGAAGAAGGATAAGTAGTTAGAAGTTGGCTCTTCCTATCACGAAAGCGAATAAGTCTAGTTCACTCTTGTTACATTAAATGTAGTAAATTTGGATAAAATAGAATTTTAATATTTATCCCAGGGGACAGGATAGCCAAAAGAGAGCTTAATCATATTGCAAACTATGAACTCTTGTGTGTCCGGTTACCAGTCTATGTAATTGCCCCCCACCGAATTCAAACCTTAGGACCCATGTTAAATTTCTTGTATAGTTTACCAATACCAGATAACAACGTAGGTGTTCCATTATCTATTAAAATCAGACATACAGCTCTGAAAATATCTTCTTTCGTGAGAGTTTATTTTTTCAATATTGTTTTGATTGTGGATAAAATTGATCTTGAAAAATATATATATATGGTTTCGTTCATTGAAGTTATGGTAGTCCTACTACAATCTGTTAAAAGGTTGATCAATACAAAATCTCAATTGTGATACTTATCGTTTTATACAAGGTTTATTTATATATATGGTTATTGGTAACATAGGCGTGAACAAAATTTTATAACTCATATTTCTGAAATTGATAAAATAATTAAAACAACTCTCCAAATCCATGAAAGAAAAATAATATAATTATGATTTGAGACTGGCATTTTTAGTCTGATATTCTTACAGTATTTTCTTTGTATGTAAAGATCACCCACCTCATTAAGTTTTTACAATTTGTAATAAGCTGACTGTATTTCAGGAAATATTCGATTTACGAATCGAGCGTAACCAGAGTGAGGCAAAATCAACAAAATATGAAGCGGACGTTAGTACCTTGAAATCAAAGTGTCACGAATCTGAATCTGAAGTTCAAGTTAATATTCTACGACAACAATTAACCGATTCGAAACATAAGCTGGAAAAAGCGACCGGAGAGGTAGATACCATGTGTGGCTAAATGGATAAAAGTGCATGGTAAAGTATAAATCTGAGATAAACGTATATATATATATAAAATGTTCTAACTTTGATAATTTTAGATCAACGGCCTTCGAAAATCACGTCGAGATATGACTTTACGATTGTCAGCAAAACAAGGAGAAAGAAATGAATCGGAGAGGAACAAAATTGTGAATTTGAAAGGCAATTAGAAAATTTATCATCTCATACACAGGTGATTGCAAGTTTTTTGTTTTGATGGATTGATATTTGGCTGCATTATAGTTGCTAGGATCGGGGGTTCAATATATAAGCACGCCGTTGTCAGGAATTTGTAGAAATGAATTGTACACTTTGATCTGTGTCAGCAATTAACTTGTAATTAATAGTTCAATTTAATTTTCTACAAGCCAGTTGTAACCTTAGGGTGATTTCAAAAAGTTAGTTGCTGGTCATTTAAATGGTCTACAACAGGGGTGCGATCTTTAATACAGGAGGGCCAGATACAAATACCTGGGTGAAACCGCGGGCCGTACCTTTATGTAACAATGAATCTCTAGTGGTTGCAGGCACAAAAATTTTATGACATTCATTTACTTCGCACAGACTAGACGTTAGGGCATTGCAATGTCATGGGCATAGATAATAAACTGGACTCGGGTATAGATTTTGCAACGCAAAGGGGTTGGAATTACTCCTACATATCAGAATGAACACAAAAAACTTGTTTCGCGGGCCGCACAACATTCAAAATTGGCACTTATCTGCGGGCCGCACAATTTTATCTTATAGGCTGCATTTGGCCCGCAGGTTGCACAACCCTGTTCTATAACATTACCATGATACTTTGGCAATCCAAGTTACTATTCAATTTCTTCTCTGGAATAAATATGAAAATCCTATCCTGAAATATTTCTTTTACCTTTATTACAGGGAGAACTGGATTCTGATGTAAAATCAGCATTACAAGAAATCATAAAATTACGAGTAAAAGATGGCGACAAGGCATAAACATCACATATTGTTGGAGTCATCTGTTCTTTTTAATATGCAGTTTTGTGCGTTTCATACCATATTATTTTTAATTTACCGCATTTTTTGTTTATCATTATTTACTTTTTTGATGTTTAAAGAATTTCGGAACCAAATGTCCATTTTTGGACCATTTGTTATATATACAGGACTTAAAAATTATTGATCTGGGTAATACCTTTTCATACTTGAATGTGGAATCGTAGTTACTTTAAGTGGCTTATTTTTTAATCTACATACCTCAATTAAACTAAGATGAATTTCAAGAAAATTGAATTAAAATTCAGTTTTATGGCATTATGAATTTTATTAGCATATTCTTTTGTCAGTTATATTTTACGACGTTCCGTCCCAGCAGTAAATAGAGGTAATTTTGTACTGCTCAAAGTGCAATATAGAAGTGATTTCATAAATGACGTTGCCTCGATGGAGAATCTGTGCTATTCAGCGGTTTCAGCTAACCTTAGTAGCTAATTATAATAAATCATTTTTTTGAAATAAAGTTTACTCTGTGGGATATTATCGCTATCGATATTAAATCGATCACAATTAAATCAATGAAGCAACACATTCCGTTTCGAGGTGATGAACATGTATGTATG